CCGCCCCGCCTCGCCGCAGCTTCCGCCCAGGCAAGGCAGAGCGCGGCATGCCGTGTGATGTAGTCCGCCGGGCACCGAGCAGCTCCCCAAGCCGAGGCCGAGGCCCAGCTCCCCGGCGCCAACGGCCGGCCCCGCACCACGGCCCGGCGGGGGCCAGAGTGCCTCTCTCCGGGACGCGCATGCCCCTGGCTCACCCCCAAACCCTAGTAATTCATCTCATTGCAACTTACACTCCCGCTGTGCTTAGGCAGAGGTGTGATGGCCACCAGGCTCTTCTCCCAAAGGGCCAAAGGACAGCTGAGAGCAAGAGAAGTAGGGCATTTAGGGTAAAACAAACCTCAAAGAGCCCCCAAATACACCCTTAGTAGCAACAGAGCTAGGTAATTAAGAAAAAAAAAATGAAACAAACCCCAAACCCAAACCACTCTATATCACAGGTACACTGACTACTGCAGCATCTTTTTCTTACATTGTTTCTGTGACCTGGACCCTCTGAAGCGTCCTGGTGGTTGCAGAGTCAAGGCAAAACAGCATACAATTTCTTGGCCAGGGAGCAGCAGATAGATACAGGGAAGTAATACAGGAATAAAACTGAAACAAGCCATGGTTTATTAGAAACATGCCATTTTTTGAGCAGTATGTTTGATTTCATAACCAGCTCTAACAGCTTCTTTTACAGCTATTGTAAAAAGTCCATAGTGTGGTGATAATTAAATTTGGGGCAACATAAGATGAGCTGCATTTAAGTGACTGAGCTCCCTAATCCAAGGAAGCATTAGTTCAATCAAAAGTCCTAAAAATTTTCAAGGGAGTTATAGCCTACCTATGCTAATTAGAAACTATGTCAGTATACAAGAGCTAACATTTTTCAAACAAGCTATTTATTTATCCTCCATTAAAGAAAAACATCCTTAATGGTCTTGATAAAGAGACAGTCCTGAACCAGATTCTAACAGTACGCTACTGTGAGACTCCACTTCAGCTGTTCTTTTCTTACGTGTCATGTTGAGAGTCTTACTCAAGTTTTAAATTATGTTCTTCTGAACCAAAAAATCTGTTTTAAATTAACATTGACCAGTTATAATTTTATAAAACTTAAGTTTCAGCAAAGTTATATTTTAACTTAATCTAGTTAGTGCCTAAGATGTTAATATGATCCTGATCAACTATTAGATTTCAATTTCGTGATAGTTTTAAAGAGTCCACTTCTAGGCTTCCAATACTTAACCTATTTTCTCTTCAAACCACTCAGTATTTACACTTTTTTTTGGCCAGGAAAGTTAAGCTTCCCTGAACCTAGCTGAGGATAAGTATACTACAAAATATTTGAAGGACTCTTTTCGAAATAAGTTACTTTCTAGACCTCCAAGCTGGCATATTCTTACTATAGCTAGGCCATTAATAGATACCTTTCATTATTTCAGTTGTTTGAGTACAATCTAACAAACATTTGCTTTAGAAGTGATGGTCAATAATCAGTGTTTCAACATTAACGTAAGTGGTTGCTCTATATAATCATACATAACTATTATTCACAACATACTTTTGATTCATTCTCCTCTATTCAGACCATAGATGTTAACACCATTAAAGGACTAGCCGCACCTTTACCACATTTGACTGCGCTTTCTCTCATGTTTTGGTTCTTGGCATTATTTTTATGTTGTTTCAAAGAAATTTGAGAAGTCCCAAAGCTTATGCATGTCCAGTTTACTCTCCTGTTACACTAACTGAGGCAGTCTTCTTCTGATGACCCAATTGGGGCCCTTTATCTTTAGCATTTCTTTTCTGAACAGCTGCTACCTCTTTTCTACGACCCCTTCTAATCATCCAGGTATTCTCTTCTTCACTTAGGGACTTTTTCTCATCCTGGTCCAAACAGTGTGTGTACATACTTTTTTTTTTTTTAAAAGTCAGATGAAGATTGAGGCAAAACTACTGAAACTAATAGGTTTTTGCACTATTCTTCAGCCATCAAGCCTCATATGAATGAGGATTATTACAAACTCTTTACCTGTATTTTAAGCACATTGAGTTAAAAACAAAACCAAAAAAACAGGGGTGGGGAAATTCCAGCTCACCAAGCTGGCAACTACTTTCTGCAGCTGATACAATTCCTGTGCTGCAACACTATGAATGGCTGAAGCATCCCCACTGAAAATATGCATGCTCAGTGTAAAAGGACTGGAGAGAGACAGGACAAGATCAGAAACCTGCAATGAGGAAAGACTGTTCCCTGTTTTAGTGACTACATTTTGCCTAGACTTGTAGTTATAAGTTAAGGTCCTTTTGAACTGCCGTTACTAAAAGCATTACAAGTCACTGATGAAGATAGCAAACAATTAGTACAACTTTTCTTTTTGCCTTTCTTTTGAACAAGATTCTAATTCTGTTTAAGCATCTAGTTATTCAGGGATTTAAACTAATACCAACTCCATTAAAGAAAACTGAATTGAGCTTTGCTTGCAGTCTACTTCCCACTACCATGTTTCTCATGTTCTCACATTCAGATGTGTACAAGAAATAGACTGAAGATTGGATAAGTTTTGCCTGGAAGCCAGTCCCTGCCATTTGCTTTCTTGAGGATCCCGCAGCTCTATCATATTACAACCATGATCATGATCAAACTACACCACCACTCCGTCACCATCAGGTATTTCTGGTCCTGTACGTAAGGGTACAGCTTCATAAAATCAGACTAAGCAGTAGTCTCTACAAGCTGCTGAACAGCTTTGCTTACAAAGGAGAGGGGGAAAAACAAACGAACAAATCACACCCATCATCTAAGTCACATAACTTCCAAAGAAAAAATAAAAATCAAACCTTTTATTTCCTTTTACAAAAATACATATTTGCAGTCATGTGATAGTTATCATAGCTGTTACCGGTTTACACGGATCCAAGAAACTACACAGTGCTCCAGGTTAAATATTTAAGATAATTTAGGAATGGCCACGCCACTTACTAATTTCTGGATTAGAAATGCTATTCATCAGGGTGTGCAAAAAAAATTTGCAAGTTAGAAATTAATGCTGAAGTGGTGTAGTTTAAGTAACATAATAGATACATTAAACTTTTGGTCATGAGTAACTGAAAACAAACCATAACAGTATTAAAATACATATTTTCATAAAAATATTGTGACGCTTTGTATCTAAATAAGACTTTTTAGAAAGATGGTATGAAATATTTATCATACAAAAGCATATTCTTATAGCGGGATTATGTCGTAAGTTTTAAAAAATTCTATCCAAGCACTTAAAAGCAGAATTTTTTTTATAACTGTGATCCACTTGTCATATAAAGTGTGTATGCTGTGTGTACACTATAGCATTCAGTTTATTCTACTTGAAACTGGTCAAAGTACAACACTGCATTGTGGAGCAGCTGAGTTCTTATATACCACTGAAACTTGTTCAAGAAGATAAACATCACATTCTTGTTGCTTCATATGCAAGAGGAAATTACTCTTTACGCATGTCTGCTATATGCATATACTGAGAATAATTTCATGCTACAATCTTTTCTTGCCACAGTTTGACCTTTCCATAGGGTTTTTTCAGCTGCAGCCAACATCATCTCCCTCCAGCCCCATTACCTCCTCAAACACCCTACTGGTATAAGTTTAAAAAAAAAAACCCCCCCGCGGAGAAATTTAAAAAAAAAAAAAAAAAAAAAAAAGATTTATAACAGGAGCTGACTGCTATGATCTCCAACTGAAACAGATTGTGTATCAGCTAACTCTACTGAAATCACTGATTTTAAAATCCATATTAGAACACGACAGTGTTTATTTCCTGTGATGAATACGGCTTGCTTACATTTACACCAGTAATCCACTTTAAATCCTGAAGTGTCAGCAGTTTAAAACCACCAATTAGTATACATTTACTTTATATTTAAGGCATGTGAGTAAGAGCACCCTAATTAACTAACATTGAATGGAAGAGACTTCTCTTCAGGAAATTTTTGTCAGCTGCCTTCTCCTCTTTAAAGATGCTAAATTAATATGGTTTTGGGAAGATGGTAAGAAGGAGAAAGGAAGAAAGTTAAGAACCAATCCAATTATTTCAGCTGTCCCTGAAACAGTTTTGAAAGCAATGATTTACCAGTAAAATGCCTCAACTATAACGTATTCTGACCAAGTCACATAATATGCCAGTTGGACTTATCACTAGGTGAAAAATAAAAGAAAAAAAAAAAGAAAAGCAATCAGATACTACATTAACAGGACAGTACAGGATCAATATTGCTTACCCCTGAGTTAACAGGACTGGGTGTAGCAGCACCAATTAGAAAACATTCTGCAATGCCAGCACTGCACTGTGGTCCTATAGTGTGGTATAGTTTCATATGCCCACAGATTTTTTCTTTAAGAGCACTTATTTCAAACATCATTAGACACAGGAATTCCTTTAGTTGCATTGGTATTTAAGTGGAAAAAACAGTGAAAATAGTATAGTGGGCTATACTATTAGTACAGTCCATTTGTAGTGTTAACATACTATTTAGAGCTGTGTTCCAAAGTTGGTAAGCCACTGCCTTCTGTGAAACTACATTTGCCTTTTGTTTTCTGCACAAAAAAAGCCCAGTAGAAATCATGTTGTGCCAGTTTTGAGCAAGATGTCCTGTAAGTCATCTGGAAGTGCTAGTATAATATCACTGATGTGTGTCTGCAGCTTCTTCAGTGTGTCAGTTTTCACCGGAAGCTGTTCTCTGTCAGCCTGCAACTGCAAAGGTACATTAAAACATGATTTCTACTAAACATGCAAGTTTACCTTAAGACACACCAAAGTGACATATTAGTGAATCTGGAAAATGAATTCCTCATTTGCCGACCGAGTAGGAATTTGGACAATAGCAGGTTTCCTCAAAAACCACAAAACAGCATGAGCTAACGCTGATTTGGACTTTCAGTAATCACAAGAAAGTTTGGTTTTCTGCTTCTCTGAGGATTCAAGCCTTGCTTCCGCTCAAATCAGTCAAAGTTCCAACTAGTTTTAAAAAAACAAGACCAGTGCAATGCTTCCAACATAGCCAGACGATGTTGGGAAGTGAGCTAATTCTTCAGTCATAGCTGACATGAACTGTTTTAAAAACCTGAATAACTGATTTCTTGAGCTACCTAGATCTTAAAGAATATTTTCATTTAACTACCTGTAAACACAACTATATAATACTTTTATCTAGTTAAGTCAGGCAAATTTGAGCTGTGTTCAATTCAGTTACTTACCAGTTTATTCTTTAACTTTAAGACAAGATCCACCGTTTCTACTTCAGTATGCTTCTGACTCCAGAAAACCAAGTTCTAAAAGAATAAAAATTAAGCATTGAAATTTTTATGGCAACATACATAATTTTCAAAAGTAGTATTAATTTACACCTACTGTTCAGAATGGGTCTTCTCCTTTTCCTTATTCTCATGCCATTTACTAAACTCATTTTACTCATGTACTGTCTCTACTGTGAGCTGCAAAATCTGCTTTATTTGCATGTTTGCCCAGGACTTAGCAAAACAGGAGACTAGGACACAAACACAATACAAACAAATACATATATAAAAAAAAAAAGCCAAACAGGCTTAGTTTCAAAAATAGCATCTACAATGCAAAACGGCAGTGAATGTTTACCAAATCAGATCTGCCAGCACAATGAAATATTAAAATAGTGCCAGGGAGCACTTCTTGTTTCTAGGGCATTAAAGGAGATCACATAGTCGATAACTAGTAAAATATATTAAGTGACTTTTCTTATGGAAGTTCTGTCCCCCTACCCCTTTACTATTCACCTATTAAAGTCGTTTCCTCGTGTACAGGAAGATGTTAACACTTGGATCAAAAGAAAAAGTAATAAGGAGCAGAGTCAGTAATAAATTTGTGACACATTCCCTTTTCTTTGCAATAAGTTAATGTCAAATGTAGTTGGATAGATTCTAGGTGATAGAATTGACCTACCTATTGCCCTGCAAATTATTTGGGCTGCTCTATTTGAACGATCTATTTGGGTTGCTACAATGTACTGTTTGGGAATTGCCAAGGCAAGGGATAAAAATCAATGGCTTTTTTAAAATAACCAGCGCAGTTTTTCTGTTTATTTTAAAGCTGTGGCGTTGACTTATTTTTTTGTTCTTCCTATTCCCTCTTTAGCTGTACAATCTCTTCTCCTCTTGTGATACCTTTCTTTATCAGTTGTTCCGACTCAAATTGTACTGATACCCACTTCAACTTCCTAAGTAAAGAATGGATCTTACAACATAAGATCATTTATGTGGCATTTTGTTATGTATCAACAAACAGATTTCACTTCTCAGCTTCCAATTATCAGTTGTAGGCTTATTTACTATCCACATCTAATAAGATGTCAATTTTCTATGGTACTCACTGAGTTTATACCTTTAAAGCTACAAACTATATCACAACTAAAAATGTGTTGGAATGCCAAGGAAGGAAGCTGAATGAAATAAAATTATCAAATAAGAGGAAAGAACTTTTTTTTTTTTTGGGGGGGGGGGAATATTAATTTTA